CAAAATTTGAAAGATTCTTGGAGCATATTACTAATTTAATGATAAAATTTTAAAATATAATTTGATGTTTTACTTGTCATTTTTCTATTCAAAGGGCCGGCCTATCACTTTGGCCTTTTTTTAGCTTACGTAGATGACTTGACATACTTGTCAAGTCAGATGACTTTAACATTTATTATTAACGCTATTATTTATATATATTTTTCGCTCAAACTTTTTTTTTATAATCGTAGAAAAATTTTATTTTAAAATAAAAATTTGTTCAACAAAAAAATTAAATAAATTATATATCGATATATACAATTTGGTCTACTATATAGAATTGCAATATATGCTCAAACTAAGAATTTGCTTTGTAAAAAAATTTTCAAACTGTACCTTTTTTTTAATATATTAAACTAATGATTTAATTCATCATCAATAATTCTATAACCATGATTATTTATAGTTTTGCTAGCGTTAAGTTGTAATGTAATATATTCTGTTATAATTTTAATACCATCCCATTTTAGATTTAAAATAGTTGACGCACTAAAACCTTCAATCCACTCAATAGCTTTTCTACCCTTATCTTCATTTGTATTATTTATATTAAAACAACTAAAGAGCATATAGATCTTTTTACTCCTATTTTTTCTTTTACTACAAGCATCATAAGATGGTATTACAATTTTTAGATCACTATGGAATTGAATACTAACTAATTTTTTGGATTCAATTTCATTATGTGATTCTCTATAAATTCTAAGTTGTATTAATAAAGCCTTTCCAAGGTCATAATAACACTTAAGAACCTCATGATTCGATTTTTTATTATTATTTTCAGCACGAGAAATATGATTACTAAGATCAAGAAAATTGACACTATTTGACCTTTCAGAGTTAAGAGTCTGATTACTGTATTGTTCAGGTACCGTTAATAACTCATGAGCAAGTTTTTTAAGTTTTGGCAAATTTTCAATATTATTATTTTCTTTTGTTTTTTTCTTTTGTTTGGGCAAAATTACAATTTCATCAATGTGCACTTCAAGGTTGCAAGGTTGCTTAGGACATTCTAGCCTTGAAATTCTGTTAAAATAAGTTTCGATACACATACGATAAAATGCATGTCCACAGTCCAAAATCATAATTGGTTTAGTTGAAAAAAATTTATTATTGCAAAGTGGATACAGATATGTTTCTATGCTAATGTTGCGAATTTCAACTTTTTGAGAATTATTTAGTATATTCAAAGCAAAAGATTTAAGTAAATCACCATTAAGAAACCAGTTCAAATATTGGCAAAAAGACATTTTAATAGCTCTATTTCTTTTATTTTTATATTATGTATTGTTTAAATTCAAAAATTCAATTAAATCTTCACTTTTGATCCTATGCT